AATTGCTTAAATCACATTGAATTAGTAAGGGAATTACTAAAAGGATTAAACTTCATTTCTTAAAAATTGTTAAAGGAGAATTGGTTTTATTTGGATAATTATTCCCCGATAAAAATTCTAATTGGCTATTTGAGCATGTATATTATGTGTACCTGCGTCGCATGGATGATTCGCCTGTAGGGTGATTGTTTATTTTATGTTGACCGCGTTGCATGGATGATTCGCGAGCGGGGTAATAGATGCATCTATGGTTCGTGCCGTTCGACCCTCGGCAGTGCATAGTTTACATTTCTGTTGGATCGGGCCGTCGCCTCGGTGTGATTTGTGCATGTTATTTGTCGCTTGAGAATTTTAAATATGGAAATTGCCTTTCATGGCTTGATATAAATCGATAAGATAATAAAAAGTAAACTTGAAAATCCCTTAATATTTGTTAAAGGTGTTTACCTGTTTTTCCGCCTTGCGAGATAGAACTGCTATAAAAATCCATGATTTTCCCATATTTTTATTACACTATCATTGGACCTCTAGTAAGTGTCGATGTTGACCATCTAGTCTCTACTTCTTCGAGATTAGGCGGGATACTCATTGAGTACACGTTGTTTACGTACTCATACTATACTTCTGTGCATTTTTGTTGCACAGGTATATGTATCTCTAGCAGCCTTCTGGGCGTAGCAGCGCGGATGATTCTGGGACTAGATGAGTTGCATTATTCGAGGCGACCCGCAGCTAGTATAGTCCCTCTCGGCATATTGTGTTTATTTCCTGTCCATTGTATTTCGGACGGATGTTGTATTTTATTTTTCCTTATCAGTAGATGCTCATGCACTTGTGACACCGGGTTCTGGAATGGTTATCGAAAGATTTGTACTAATCGTTTATTATTTAATTTGAATTTAAGTGGTGATCTTTTTTATTTATGAAAAATATAAGGAAAAGTCCTAGATTTCAAAGGTATTAAAAAGAGAAGTTAATCGATTAATTAAGTCGGCTTGCCTGACAGCGGTGTCCGGCGCCACCACGACCCTTAGTGGATTTTGGGTCGTGACACAAGTGCCTTAGGAGATAGGAAGGGCAAGTGAGAGATGTATACAGATGAACAAAATCCTTGCTATTTATAGAAAGGAAATGGCCTTAATATCATGCATGACATCACATTAAGTGTGATCATGCAATGTAAATGCATGAAAAAATGCATCTACGAATTTCCTCCTAAAAGGGGCTTCCAAATGTTCACACTTGTTCATATTAATCTTGTCAAATTCAACAAATCTCCACCTTGGCAAGATTCCACTCTTTCAATTTTCTCTCACTGATAAATTTTGATTGTGTCTTCAACTTCAATCTTCAAAGTTCAACAATGTTGATCAAGTTCAAACAATATTGAAAACTTGATCGCAGTCACTACTTTTGTTAGCATATCGGCAGGGTTGTTTGTAGTCCGAATTTTCTGCACCATAACTCCACATTCTTCTATAATATCTCACACAAAGTGATATCGAACATCAATGTGTTTCGTCCTTGCATAATAAACTTGGTTCTTTGCTAATTTGATAGCACTTTGACTATCACAAAATAGTGTGATGCTTTCTTGACTAATACCAAGCTCTGTAAGCAACCCCGTGAAGCCAAATTGCCTCTTTTACAGCCTGCGTAATTGCATGTACTCTGCCTCAGTAGTAGACGAAGCAACCGTTGAATGCAAAGTAGACTTCCAACTAACTGGTGCATTTGCAAAAGTAAAAACATAACAGTAGTTGATCTACGCTTGTCCAAATCACCCACATAATCTAAGTCACAATATCCAACCGGATACTCACTACCTTCCTGCTCAAAAAACAATCCAACATCTACAATATTACGAATATTCCGTAAAATCCATTTTACAGCTTGCCAATGCTCCGTTTCCTGGATCGTGCATATATCTGCTTACAACTCAGATAGCATGTGAAATATCAGGTCTTGTGCAAACCATTGCATACATCAAGCTACCAACGACATTCGCATATGATACTCTTGACATATATATACTCACGTTCAGCTTCATTCTTCAGCGACATAGCAGCACTAAGCTTAAAGTGAGGAGCACGAGGGGTGCTAACCGACTTTGTGTTCTCATTCATGCCAAATTGATCTATTGCTCTCTTCAAGTATTCTTTCTGAGATAGATAGAGGTTCTTTGAATGTCTATCTCTTTTTATCTCCATGCCAAGAATTTTCTTCGCCTCACCCAAATCCTTCATCTCAAACTCCTTTTTTAGTTGAATATTTAACTTCTTAATTTCCTCTTGACTTTTTGAAGCTATCAACATATCATCAACGTATAGGAGAAGATATATAAAGGATCCATCTTCAAGCTTGTGCAAATACACATAATGATCGTATTTTCTTCTTCTGTACTTCTACTGCAACATAAACTTGTCAAATAGTTTGTACCATTATTTAGAAGATTATTTCAATCCGTACAACGGTTTTACAAGTTTGCACACCATATTTTCCTTTTCACCAACTTTGAATCCTTATAGTTGAGTCATATAGATTTCGTCTTCCAAATCTCCATGTCAAAATGCAGTTTTTACATTTAACTGAACTAGTTCCAAATTCAATTGTACTACCAAGGCCAACAAAACTCTAATGGGAGTCTTTCACAACTGGAGAAACACCTCATTATAATTAATTTCCTCCTTTTGAGCGTATATTTTGGCCACCAATCTTGCTTTGTAGCGAATATCTTTTTGGTTAGGAAATTCTTCTTTCTTTGGAAATACCCATTTGCACCCAATTACTTTCTTGCCCTTTGGGGGATTGGCCAATTTTCATGTGGATTCTGATGAAGGGATTGTATTTCTTCATTCATGGCAATCCTCCACTTATCTTCTTCTGAACTTTGGACTGCATCTTTATAAGTGGTAGGAACACCATCAGCTACAATTGAGGCTGCACAAGCCACCGTCTCTATGAGACGGTCAGGTTTCTTTATTGTTCTTTTTGGCTTGCTGGTTGCTATTGATTCAAGTTGCTGTTGAGGTTCCTGAGTTGGAATCTCCTCTCTACTGGCTCTTCTTCCAGAGGAAAATCTTTTGTTTTTTCCTCATTTTCTCCCTGCGTTGGGAAAATTAATTTTCCTTCGAACTCCACCTATTTTGAAGCACTATCAGTTTGTTTGACATCATCAATTGTCACCTTATCTATTATGGCAGATTCATCAAAGGTAACATCTCTGCTAAATATAATTTTTCTTGTCTCTGGACACCATAAGCGGTATCCTTTGACTCCAGAAGTAATCCCCATAAATATAGCTTTCTTTGCTCTCTGATCCAATTTTGATATGATAGTATGCAATTGAGCCAAATATATACAAAAAACTATAATCTTCAGCAGGTTTTCCATTTCAATTTTCAAATGGTGTCTTGCCACCAATAGCGGCAGATGGTAAATGATTAATGAGGTGGCATGCATATGTTATTCCTCCAGCCCAAAATTCTTTGCCAAAGCCAGTATTGGACAATATACACCAAACCTTCTCCAGCAAAGTCCAGTTCATTTGTTCTGCCACCCCGTTCTATTATGGTATATTTCTGACATGAAATGTCTCAAAATGGCATCATCTTCACAAATTTTATTGTAAAGATCATTTTTGTATTTTCACCTTTGTCTGTGCGAAGACACTTTATCTTTCTACCTTTTTGAGTCTCTATCGTGCATCACCTTCCATTTGAGAAAAATTCCCAGCACCTCATCTTTGGTTTTCATAGTATACACCCACACTCTCCGGAAAAAGTCATCAATAATGTTTACAAAATAGTGTTTCCTACCTAATGAAGGTGTTTTGGAAACACTACAGACATCAGAGTGAACATAATCCAAAATACCTTTAGTATTATGGATTGTTGTTCCAAATTTAATTGTTGCCTGTTTCCCCTTGACACAATGCTCACAGCACTCCAAATGGCAAGTCTTTACTCCTTTTAACAATCCTTGATCTAATATAATTTTCAAGAATTTTCCTCCAGCATGTCCCAAGCGCGTGTTCCATAGCTTGGTTGCTTTTGCCTCCTTGTCATCACTAGATGCCACTGTTGATGTCCCAATAATTGTACTATCGTGATAGCGGTGCATGTTATTATTTCGCCAAATTACCTTCATTACCATTAGTGCACCGGAGCATATTCTCAATATCCCATTTTCTGCAACGATTTTGAACCCCTTTGACTCTAGGGCTCCTATAGAAATGAGATTTTTCTTCAATTTTGGTACGTATCGAACATCTGTTAATATTCTAATCAATCCATCATGGTTTCTTAATCGGATTGAACCAATACTATATGCGGTAAGAGGATTGTTATTTGCGGTGGGAATAACTCCACATTCTCTTTCTTGAAAATCAACGAACCAGTCTCGATTGGGACACATATGATAGCTACAAGATGAATCCATCAACCATATGTCACATGGTTTGAATGGCTCAGTTGTAACTAGTGAGAAATCAGAGTCATCACAATCAGCTACATTTGAATCCATGACAGCCTTCTCATTGTTAGGTTTGCCCTTGTTTTTCAACTTTGGACAGTCTTTATTCCAGTGCCCCTTTTCTCGGCAAAAGGCGCATTCATCTTTGCTGGGTCTGGATCTTAACTTCGATCTTCCTTTCTTCGTTCTCGTCTGGTTTTGGGAACGACCTCTCACGACCAGTTCTTCTCCTTCTCCACTCTTTTGCTTTTCTCTCTTTTCTTTGTTCATAGTTGTATAAGGCAGAACAAACTTCTTTAAGATATACTTCATCATTCCCATGAAGTAGAGTTGTTTCGAGGTGCTCGTACTTATTGGGAAGTGAGCTTAATAACATTGAGGCCATATCTCCATCACTAAAAGTCACGTCCATATTCTGCAAGTCTGTCGCCAACTTATTAAAGCTGGTAATATGATCATTCATTGTAGTACCAGGAAATATGTGAAGCGTAATAGTCTTCTTTCATGTAAAGTTTATTTTGACTGTTTTCTTCAAGAATTATCCTCCAATGCATTCCACAATTTACTTGCAGAAGTTTTTTTTGTGTATGGATACTTCTGTTCTCTTGCGAGGTAAGATCGAATGGTACTACAAGAAATGCGATTGATAATCTTCCAATCTTCTTCTTCGATATTGTCTGGTTTCTTTTCTTCTATGGCAATATATAGCCCTTGTTGGAAAAGGACATCAAGAACCTCAGCTTGCTACATCCCAAAATGTCCTGACCCGTCAAAAATTTCAACTGCAAATTTCGCATTTGACATAATTCTTGTCATAAGTGAAGTTGCCCACGACGTATTAATGACACTCGACGTGAACTCTTCATTTTTCTTGTCTCTCATTTTGCTACAGATACTATTTATTTGCTGATACTACAGAACACCAAAGTAATTCTTTTCTGATGTGGAAGTTCAGACTATGTTGCAACCACATAGCATACTCAGATTGAATATATAGAGAGTGATTAAATCACAACTACTATATTTAAAGGTAGCTAGTAAATAGTAAGGAGACAATAGTAAAAAGAACACCAGAAGTTTACGAGGTTCGGCAAAATTTGATTTTTGCCTAGTCCTCAGACACAATCAACTCAAACTTTATTTCACTCCAAAAATACAAGAGAGAAAGAAGATTCAAATGCCTTAGGAGATAGGAAGGCAAGTAAGAAATGTTTACAAAGGAACAAAAACCCGTGCTATTTATATAAGGGAAATGACTTTAATAATGTCATGCATGACATCATATTAAGTTTGATCATGCAATATAAATGCATGAAAAAAATACATCTACCAGGCTTCCAAATATTCACACTAATTCACATTAATCTTGTCAAAATCAACACTCCGGAGATCCTTTAGTCTAAGTAGCCAGTGATTATGGTATGGCTGTGGAGGAATAATGACTATAATATTTGCCCAAAAAGGCTTTGCAATGATGCATTCTAGGAAGATGTGGTGGATGGATTTATCTCCAAGATTATAGATGGGGCATGTGGTAGGTAGATTAACACCGATGTGGTGGAGGTACAACTTAGTAAGAAGGAGCCCACGGAAGCATTGCCAAAGGAAAATTTTAATTATGTTTAGCATACGAAGGTCACAAATCCATTGATAATTGGTGTCACTAGGGACATCAGGCACGATAAAAACTATTGTCAACTTTAAAGGGTTGTCTGCATAATTGGCCAGAAAAAACGGCGGGGCATAAGTTATGGTCGTCCAGATGGTAAAAGTAGATTAAAACATGCAAAGTGAGAAGTATATTAGTTTTGAAAGCATTATTAGTTTGCGTATTACTAATTCCTGCATTATGGATCTTTGCATCATTAATCCATGTATTAGTATAACTTGTTTTTACCCCAAACGACCCCTTGGAATATTTCAGCATTTGGGGACGAAAGGAATTATAAGGTGGATCGACGCTTAAAACATACATTATGAACAATACTACCAATTCAGCTAAAAGTACCATTTGATAATTAAAAGCAACGAAAGAAATTAGAAAGATAAAAAAGAAAAATAAAGAGCGAGAGGAATAGGCTAGGGTTGTCAATGGATATTTAAAAAATGACTAAATTGACCGAACAGTACCGTAGCGAACTAATTTTAAGTTTCTTTAAATAAAACCGTAGGTTTTAATATAAATTTATAACCATGCCGATAATTAGAGTAAGTTTTTTTATTTAATAAAAATTAATGGAAAAATTCCGACGAATAAATTTACATGTAAAAAATATATTTACTAGATGGCCGGTGCCCGTGCATAGGCGTAGGCGCGACATCATTGTACCAAAGAAGTTAGAAGTTCGACATTGAGAAGATAATTTCATACATGTTTTAACTAACATAACAACGTTTCATTATATATGCACATTCATTTGAGGAACAAAATTGTACAAGATCTGAAATATGTAATGTTGAATTAAGTACTTTCTCTAGCTTGCTCCCATGAGAAAAAGACAAAAAGATGCACCCCTTGTCTCATAAACACCTTCGTCGTTGTTACATCATCTGCTGAAAAAAGGAAAAAGACAGAAACATTAAATCTTGAGGAAACATGGTGTCACACCTTTTTTGAAGTGGACAAGGCATTTCTTAAAAGAATGAGGTGTCATTGCATAATCATGTTGGCAGAAAATTATATAACATAAGAAAATCGTCCAATATCCTATGAGAAAATATGCAGTAGCTCACATGAATCTTAAATTTGTTCCATCTTCCTCAACCTGAGGATCACATATATCAATCAAGCAAGCATTCAATTAAGGCATTCAAAAATAGCAACAAGCATAAAGTATAATCAAGAATTTAACTCTTTGAAATATACTTTTATCATCACTGCAATGACTTGTCAATAATATCATGGTGCATACTAACACAAGGATTACAAAGCTGCAAAAAAAGTGGGTTAATCTAGTAAAAGAGTTCATCTCTAAATTGTTAGAGAATTCCTTTAAGCTTGTTACAAGATCACCTCATTGTTCACTTTCTAAATCAGAACATAGAAAAAATAATTAATATCAATTTTCTTAACATTCATTATGGGAGTGCTTTGTGCAAATGAAGTAGATCAGCTCTGGCACATGCTTTTAAATTTTTGGATAGGTGAATCTAATGAAATACATTTCTTGCGGGAGAGTGCATAAAGTGCTAGCATCCTCTTGTTCCACCACACAACCAACCGACACTCCAGTGTCTTTCTTTAAGCTCTCACATGTTTGACAACAAATAGCCACACGATTTCATAAGACACACAGAACGCGAGTACCACACAACTTTTGAAGTTTTTAGATGATTTATATAAAATACTGACTTGAGCAATACTTTAGTACAACTTCTATTAATACAAATTTCAGCGAAATAGTTTACACCATCCTACCTGAGTGGAGAAGTCATTTTGTCTCACTTGCTGGTCTTCCTTGGTCTGAATGCAGATTTGTCTAATGGAACATACTAACAGATGAAAAGCTACATGAAAGTTGCACATTTTTAAGCCAAAGATAAGCATAAAATGGAAGTAGTTCAGCTATATTAAGTCAATTAAGTCCGGGCTTTATTTCATCATTGGAGTGAATTGCAAGTTATACATAATATTAAAATAGAGATTTAGTTTTAAAGTTCACATTATATGACCTATTTGAATCTCCAATTTAAAGATTTTACAGCAATGTAAAAGTGAAGACAACTAAGATAAAAATATGCAGGAAAAATAAGTGCTAGTATAAGTCAGACTTGAGCAGCATAAAGCACATTTATAAGAGACAAAAACAGATTTAATGAACTTATAGGAGAAAGGATGACTCGGAATAAGTAATTAGTACTGGTAGTTAGCTTTTGTTTTTCGTTTCTTTGACTGAGCAATTTATGTGTAGAGATAGATGACTCTAGCCTAAGGCACCTAGAATCTCACTCTAGTAAAAATTTTTGTCGTGCACGTATCCAGTATTCTAGCTTTATTACAGTGATTTCTATGCTCAAGAAACAACTCATTTAGATGAAGATGAAACTCTTTGGAATCTCAATCAAATCTCAATTGATTCAAAGTGCAAATTAGTCTTCACTTCAGATTTTACATTTTTCAGGTTTAAATTTCAAACTTCTTACATTGTTACAAGACAGAAAATTTGAAAAATAGATTCATTCATTTTGACTGTATGCTAAAAGTCTACACAAGCTCTTACACTCTTCTGACAAGTGAAGTTCCATAAGACCTAACCTCCATGTATGTACTCCAAATGTGTAACCTTTCACAAAACAAACAACAGGTATCCAAATGTTTCTTCCTGGATTGACGCATTTATCCTTTTACTTCAGTCTCATCTAAGAAAATTCGGAGTAATACATAAACGTTAAACTTACTGGTAAAGCTAAAGAAACTTTTTCTCTATATTGTGTTCAGGATACGAAGCATAAAAAAGAAAAACCTTAGTGCTTCTTCAATATTTATTCTTTTGGTTCCAAAGTGGTAATAACAATTCATCTAATCAAGTGAGTGAATCAGATAAATTAACTATAGCTTTTTTCGCTTGGTAGAGCTATTTCGTTTATCACTGCATTGTTTTTAAAAAATTGAGTACAAGATAAACCATGTTTACCTAAGAATTCAAGTGTCTATTGTCAACATAAAAACTTTTTAGTTTAAACTTCTTATTAACTCTTGCATGTGATAAAAAAAAAAAAAAAATTAAACCTGAAATTATAAAGGAAAAAAATTATAAAGGAAACAAATAAAAAGAGTTGTATCGTCATGTCAAGGAACTATATCATTTTCAACTCTTACGCTCAAATGAGAGACTCCTTACCTAAGAGGAAATATATGCCTGCGAAGATGTTACAATTGAAAATTCTTTAAACAGGCTAGTGCATCCCAAATAATTTCTACCCTCATCTAGGGAATACCGTGTGAAACTGCATTATACCATATGAAATGGTTAACCAAGAGATAAACATCATGACTATAGGTTATCCATGTTGATACAAAGTCATTCCGCTTATGATATCGTGGCAATGTAACTTCATGCTCATCTGCATAAATAAACTTACTTTGGCAAGAAATATCTATTACTTGTAGTTTTTTAAGAAAATTAAAAAATTTGTTGACACATAGTATAGAGTAGTATATAGAAATCACACCTACTATAGCAACAACTAAAGCCTTCCAGAGAGATTTATAAAGCTAGTCGGCATATGAGGATGGGTTTGCCATGATGTCATATAGTACCTAACCAATTGAAGGGACCAAGAGAAAAAAAATAATCACCATCTTCACAAACTAATCACATCATCCACATCTGACATATATAACGAACATGCTAAAAGGATGATGGCAAGTACCTATTTCTCAAGTAATCACAATATACAACTATCACATTAAAAGGAAACTACAGAAATCATGCAAATTAGTTTCACTTGACATATGTATATGTTACAATGTAAGCAAGTGCAACTCACGGATGGAAAATATTAGTTGTTACGTTAAGAATTTACTTGAAGTATAAGTGCGAAAGGGTGGTTGAGAAAAAAGGAATTCTGTGTTAGTTACATGGAGCTAAAAAGAAATTCTGTGTAGAAACAACGGTTACATGGAGCTAAAGTTAGAGCTTCGGACTCTTGCATACCGAAATAAACAATTCTATTGTGATGGTACAAACATTCTTCAATTCTTATTTTCTTCTTCATCCCTTTCTAGAAGTAGCACAACTCCATAGAGATTATCTTTCGCAACTGGGAAAAAAATGATTCAAGGAACAAGGGAAGAGAGGCACACATACATAGATACAGGAATTCTATAGCAAATCCTCGTAGAAAATCCATTGCAAATTTAGAGATGGCGAAATATAAATAATAAATATATGACTCTCTAAAAGCTGGAACAAAGATCAATTGCAGAAAGGAATGCAAGCATCTCGTACAATTAGCGGCATTACCACGCCACTGGTAATAGATTTTGGGCTGCCATGTTTTACATTATATCCAAAATCTTTTTCAACACAATCTACACTTAAGCAATGAATTGGAGATTTCAAAGCACATGTTGAATACTATTCAGAGAAACAGATAGGCATGAAATACCGCTCATAATTTAATAATGTGAGATAAACTCTTGAAATTACCCTTTTTTTTCTTATCAATAATATCCACAATCAGGTGACTATGATGGCTACTGGAATTCCAAGAGAAGAAGCAAGAAAAAATCATTTCATGAGTACTCCCGGTGCATGTTTGAATAAACAAAGAAAAATGTAAAGAAACGAATAGAGAAAACCTTTTCCTTAGAATTTCTTCATTTTCCTGCTCCTTAGTAGTGAAGAACCTGAAATGTATTAAAAAAAGATGAACCTGAAAAGTCACAAGAGAACTCCAAGAGAAAATTAAATATTCCAAACAAAAATCGAGCAGAAATGACAGAGCAGAGTGAAGTGATCAACAAAAAGCACATCGAAAAATGCAAAGATTTATGAAGTAATTACAAATGAAAATAGCTCTCAAAATTATAAAGGCGAAACAACTGAAATCCAACAGAATACAGAAAGATGAAGGAAAAAGAGAAAGGAAAGGTACAGAGAAAGAGAAGCAAAAAGAAATAGGCTGAAGAAGAAAGAAATCCATATGGTTATGGGAGTCAAAAACTCGTCTACAAGAGACGGTGGAATCCAGATGTCCCACATTAATAAAAATAATAAAACACGTGTCACCAAGATAAGAGGGCTTTAACACAGAATCAAGCTACAAAAGTACCCTTTAGTAATCAAAATATTACTAAAATGCCATTCGTCGTACACCAAAGCTTCACTTATTATATAGTTAAAAAAATATATTAAGTTTAAAAATTACAATGTATTAAAAGTTTTCTTGGGCCTTGGAATTGTGAAAATGGTTTATATTTCTGAACCTATAATGTTACTCCTATTGAAACTAAATTATTTCTAGCATATTCACTAGCAAGACACAAGGTATTCTAGCGATTTGTAGCAAACTACAATGTATTGAATATGTTTCCTTTCGTATGATTTAAATTTATTTTTTTGAATATTTGATCTTTTATAGGCTTTATTCTTGAGTTACATCTTGGTTAATATTTTTCACTCGCGTGATTTATATTTTCTTTATCTTTTTTTAGTTTCTTTACCCGTGGAATAGTTGATGATTCTATACTCTGGCCATCTTTCATATTTTCTTAATTACCACCCTTTAAACAGTAAAAATGTCTAGAGAGATTGCTAAGTCCTGTAAATGTGCATATGTTAGTGCATTCTACTACTACTTGTGACTTTTACGTGATATTTTAAAAAATATTGAAAACTAACCGAACCGTACCGATATCGGAAACCGACATGATTGGGACTTTCAAAAAGTCTAATATTGATTATACATAATAAAATTTTAAAAAATAACCGTCCGAACCGAATCCTTAACCCCTAAGTTAGGCTATGGGCAGGAGGCTCTTTATATAATGGAATGCCCTATCTCAGACAAGTAAAATATCAGTTTATTTCCACAAACATTTCCCTTTATCCATTTGGCTGTAAGGCAATCAACAAGGGAACATGAATTGTTCTCATCCAAGAGATTAACCCTGCAGCTTTTGCTCCTTTCTCCGCTTTTCATAGTCCTCCAAAATCCATATATCCACTGCATGCATACTGAAAAAAATGCAAGTGACACAAAGCCAAACAATTGATCGTTCCTTCACTAAGAGAGCCATAGTTCGATGCTCTTTCTTTGAGTTGCACATACTTCCTGGATGAGGCATAGCAGAGAGTTCTTCCTTTTTCAATTCCCAAATCCCATATGCAAGAAATTAAACCACAAACACATGGAACCTCTACTCTAACTGACACTGTCATAACCGTGTTATCAAGTATTTATGTGCCTTAAACACAAACTTGGATGGGTTTTAAATGGGTCGGAACAAGACAGAACCAAACTGAAAACACCGTACTTTATTACAAAGTATATACTCCCTCCGTCTCATAATATGTGTCGTGGTTACTAAAAATAGTTGTCTCAAATTATTTGTCATTTTAGAAGTTCAAGACAAAATTGATTATATATTTCCTTTTTTACCCTTAACAATCAATTGCATTCACATTTAGTAAAAATATGGATAATGTCATTGATAGAGATGACACATAAATTGCAAAAATATTTAATAAGGGTAAAGTAGTCAAACACTATTCTTTCTTAAGGGGCGTGCACAAGAGAATCACGACACATATTATGAGACGGGGAGTAATATATAGGCGAGTTTAATTAGAGTAAAGTCTAGTCAATTTGACAGTAAAAATCCTTTAAGATAAGCATGCATGCCCCCACCAGCTTGTTAATTTAGGTCATAACAACGTCAGGCAATAGTGAGGAGGCTCTTTATATAAGGCCTAGAATTGAGTCTCTTTGGGAACATTTCCCCTTGCGGCCCTTGGATACTCTTTATGGTATTATGATCTAAATTATACAAAAAGTAGCCCTTGCCATATACGTAAAGTAGGAGTTCACCATCTTGGATGCTCAAAAGATTTATCCACAAATACAGCTCCCTAAGCCATCGTATTTCGTTGAAAGGGAAACGAAACGGGAAAATTGTCTCATAATCAATGAGATTATAACCCTGTACCTTTTTCTCCATCTCCTCATTTCATAGTCCTCCAAGATCCATATATCCACTACACACCGATAAATATGCATGTGATACAAACCCAAACGATGCCCTAATTGCTCTGAGTTGCACATACTTCCAGGATGAGGCATAGGAGAGAGTTCTTCCTTATCCATTCTAAAAACCATGATTGCATTTTCACAAAGAGGACTACCTTTTTCCTCGGAATCAAGGTGCGTGATCCAATGCAATGCTCCATTAACATCTACTGGAAAGTCATGTGGCAACAAGTTGAAAGTGGATGAAGGAATTTTTCTCCAAGTCCTCGTCTTGAATATGTATACTAAATATTCAAAGCAACTGCCTCGCTCTTGTGCATAAAGAAGCTTGAATTGTCTTGTTAATGGACAAAAATAAAGAGCACATAAGTAGAGTGAAGTGTATGTTGTACTGTTACATCCTCTTGTGTTAGCGGGTTCAAAACATAATAAGTAGAGTGCCACTTAAAATCTATAAATAGAACAACTCCTTGACAAGAGTATTGAAGAGAAGGGATGTGTTCAGAGCCCTTATTGATCGTAAGTTGAGTTCTGAGGTGAACTTTCCTGAATACATAAGGATTTTCAATACCAAACACGTAAAGATCCAGCTTTTCGACGTAACTGAAATAACACTGCATGAGATGCATGGGTTTAGCTCTACTGAGATGTAAGTTGGTAAAATATTGTGATGAGATCAAGGCTCTCAAGTCACTACAATCCCTTCGACATCTAACAAGAGAATCTGCTGGAAGTCTAGTCAGGATATCTATGATGAGACAGTCAGGCAAATGTCCGAAAATTTCAGCAGAATTTTCACCTTAACATATTGCATGAATTAGTGAACCCAAGATTTCTACGGTCCATGTGAAATATTGCCATGTCCTATATATATAAAGCAGAAAATAAGAAAACTAAAGGTTTGACATGACAGCAAATATGTACTGATTGAAAGAGGGGTATAATAATGGAAAAAGAAAATCAAATCATATAATACGGACATGATTAAAACTCAAATCACGCGAAAGCTCCAATATATAGGAAGTAACCAAAAACATACACACATACAAGTGAACTTTTTATAAAAATATAATCACAGCAACTCTTCATTCTTTTTCAACATCACCTTTAAATTTAATTCTTAAGAAAATCCAACTCTTTGGACTGCTATTTTCTTTGTTGAGTACATCCCCAAGACTGCTACTATAAACTAATATTTTGGGAAATCTAAAAGAAAAATTGAATAAGCTATTATATTAAAATTTGAGTAGTATATTAACAAATTGTAAGTATTAAAGAGTATAGGTAGACTATAGTTGTAACACAGATGGAAAAGATTGTAACTTCCAATTACCGAAACTAATACCATGGTAACAAATGAGAAAGATAAAGCCATTCAAGAAAAAACAAGTTGTCAAAAGTACCCTAGATGAGTATGTATAAGAATGTACCTCATATTTTTGAGCCTTGCAAAATTTGCAATAATCTAAACTAGATTACTAAATTAAAATAAAGACAGAAAAAACAAACACAAGCTAGAAGAATTTCATAATGTTATAACATCCTCGGCTCATGCTAAAAGTTCAATGTTGGGCCGGGGCGCAGCACGGGCTAACTTTACATGTATATATATATATATATATATATATATATATATATATATATATATATAATAGCAGAGCAAGAGCGAAGAGAGGACCGAAGGAGATAAAATTGAGGGAATTCTGGATTATATGTTGCTCAAGTACTATAGGAGACAAAATAAGGCTAAGAGCTTATTTAAATTGATTTGGCTTTGCTTCTGGTTGTAGAATAATAGAATTATTGTTGTTTTGGACGACAATATTGTCAATGTTTGTATTGGAAAGAATTCTTTTGAGTGATTTTGGATTTGCTTTCCCAAAAACATCACTGGAACCCTAAAATATTTTTTTTTCATACTAGTAATCTTTCTGTAAGCAAATATGAAATTATCTTATCGTGACTTATGAATGAGGGGTCGAATAGGAAATTCAGGAAAATTAGATTAATCCAAAGACGATATTTTGGGAGCTATGACCGAGTTTTCAGCCAAAATTATCATTTATATATCATAGGTAGTAGGTTTAACATTTTTCTCCAAATATGACCCTGAGCACATGCCTTTTAAAAATATACATATTTTTTGCCTATGATACAATTAAAATTTTGCCAAAAGAATTGAGAATATATGGTCAGACTCATAGTTATACAGGGAAAGGTGATGTTAAAAAAAAATTAAATTAAATAAAGCACCAAGGCGCAAAAGTAAATATTTCAAATTAACAAAAATAATACATATACATCTCGCTATCTAAGAACTTGAGTTTTGCGACTGTTCCATTACGTCCATTCGAGGAAATTTACACATATCGTTTCCTTCGTATTTGATTTTTTGTCTAAGATCTTTATCAAAAGATGGTGATTTTCAAACAAACAATTTTGGAGATTTTGATTAAATATTTACAGTAGGAAGACAAACCTATCAACGCGGAACAAGAAGAAAAGAGAACATTTTTGAAGCCATATCCTAGTGCGTCTATTTTATGGTCGAACAGCTTAATAATTGAATTAGTTCTTTTTTTTTTTTTTTTGTTATAATGCATAGTATAGGCGCTCTCAAAATAATAGCCAAAAAAATATTATATATATATA